CAAAGCTGCACATTTTCCCTCTGGTCTATAGTGGTGTTTGTCCAGCTAGATTTTTTTCCATGTGAATTGCCCAGTTTTGAAAATGTTGGCTTTTTCTCATCACCCACTATCATTAAAACTGCCGATATTGGGATAGTTGAGAGTTATAAATATCTAGGTGTGGTACTTGACCATAAACTGTGTTTTGAATCTCATGCTGATGCCACTACTAAAAAAGTTCAACAAAGACTGTTCTTGTTAAGGAAAATGAGATCTTTTAATGTCTCATCTGAGATGTTGTCCTTGTTTTATAGAAGTTTTATCGAATCTGTGATGTCTTTTTGTATCGCTGCCTGGTTTGGTAACCTGACGGTGAAGAATAAGAATCGGTTGGGACTTCTGGTAAAAACTGCTAGCAAAATTTCAGGGCGCTGGCAAGATGGACTTTTGGCCATTTACAATAGAAATGTGCTTTAAAGGTTCATTCTATTATTAATTGTGTGAACCGTCCACTTCACAGTGAGTTTGAGTTGTTGCCTTCCGGCCGCCGTTTTAGAGTACCTCTGAGGAGGACTAAAAGACTCCAGGTCTCTTTTATCCCTACTGCGTCTTGTCTCCTAAATGGCAAATAATTGTCCTTGAACTTTCTATCATTATTATTGTTATTATTATTTTATAGTATTGTTCTGTTTATTTTTATCCTGCTGCTAAACTAATTTCCCCTTGTGGGACAATAAAGAAATTGAATTGAATTGAAAAGTTTATGGAATAACCTCGTCATGAGGAAAGAGGTCTTGTAGCTGAACTTTCAAATGATTTTTTTTTGGTGGGCTTTTAGCTTGTCAATGCAATTGCTATTTAGGTCCATAATATTCAAGAGAATGCAGGCATTTCTATTGGTGATATCTCAAAAACCAAGCAACTGAAACCAAAACAATCTGGACTTACATCAGACCACAGGCTAGAGGAAAGGATCATTTTGGGCCATCAGACAGATATTTATGTCCTGCCACTATAAGTGTCATTATATGGCAATGCTTGCAACTCCTTAGGACAAATGAAAATATGAAATATTGTTGACATGAGTACGTCTCTACTTCTTTGTTGTGATATTTATTTTCCTTCCAGTTACTGATGCCGTAACTTCCTGATCCCATACAATAGTCTTTAAGAAGTTGACCTAAGCTCATACTTGCTGGCTTCAAAGCTTTGCATCGTCACTGTAGAGCTGCAGGTGGATGCAGTAGTTTTCTGATAGACATGCAGCAGTTCCTCTATGAATCTCTTCTTTGCCCTTTCACTTCCCTGTGTCCACCTCCCTCCCATTCCCCCAGAGTGCAGTACCTTCTCTCCTCCAGCAACAGTCATCCTCCTCATACTCCTGTGCTTTGAGGGCCTCCTCTTCCTCATCTTCACCTCTGTGATGTTCGGCACCCAAGTCCACTCCATCTGTACCGACGAGACCGTAAGTGACCCAGTTTACCATCCTGTTAACCACCTCCTTCTAACTCCTCTGTGCTTCAGGACTTCTCCCTGCTGCTGCAACTCTCAACTTCTTTTAACATGAATATCTTTAACATCAGCTGACGTCTCTGCAGCAGAACTTCAACCCTAAGTGCCTTAAAAGCAAATAATTTGAGTTACACCTACCATCATATCAGAAATCGCAGAGGTGGATCATCGACTTCTGTAGAGCCTGATTTGTTTTTGCAACCAAAGGAAGTCACCTCCTACTGGCTGTTTTTCCATCTTTTTTATGACAGAGTGACAATACTCCAACCTGGCAATGTTTAATTCATACTGTCTTTTAAAGTATGAGGCAACTGTGTCTGTCACTGTTGCAGTATCAATCTGTAAATAGGACCTTTCCTCACACGAGACATTTAGACTCAGCAGGAAAAGTGCAGGTGTAACTCATAACAGCAATAATAGCAACTTTTCAGTCCTTTCCAGTAGTAATTCTGTACTCCTGTGCTTCTTTCTGTTGTGGAGATGTCTCATGTAACAAAAGGTTCATTAGCCTGATTTATCTATACATCCATCCTCATCCTTCTCCCAGTGTTACTACCCCCCTCTCTCTCTCTCTCTCACTCACTTTGTCTTTGGTGAGCTGGTTAAACTGAATAAAGTCACAACTTTTCACAGGCAAATAGTGCATGCAGCTTTGTGTGCATTGGCTAGCTCACTTTAATAAAGGAGACTAAAACACACATGCAAAAAAAAAAAGTTTACCAGTTAAACTGCTGAGCAGAGTCCAGATTTTACACCTGCTCATTACCAGTAGTCTGCCCCCTGGTGGTGAGTCTAATGTGCTGTTCATGAAGGGCAGGCCTGTATGCAATTTTATAATAAAGGTCCGTTTGTCAGTGTATCAGCGAAAGAAGGAATCTCTGTCTTCTCAAGTTTGGAGCTGAAATAATCAAGCACACAGCGCCTGTGTGCATAGCTCACCAAACCAAACTCTCCCTGTTTTCAACTTCTTTTTGTCTGCAACTCCAGACCTTATTTATTATGAAGAGAGGGCGTTAGCATACACAGGGCTGTGCAACACACAAGGGAAGGGCACAACATCGGCTCTCCACTGTGCTAATTCAGCAGCGCCTGACGTGCAGCCCGCGATGATCTGATTTTTATCTTTCTAATACAGAAATGGGTATTTGGAGTTTGTGATTACTGTGATCGCTGGGCCGCAAAAGCACACCAACTGAAGTTTGGTTGTCTCTCGTTTTCAGGGCATAGAGCAATTGAAAAAGGAAGAGAGAAGATGGGCTAAAAAAACTAAGTGGATGAACATGAGGGCGGTATTCGGACACCCTTTCTCCATATTGTGGTTTAGCCCTTTCTCCACCCCCGACCACGGGAAGGCTGAGACCTACCAATATGTGGTGTGAAGGCTCAGCGCAGGGAGTGATCAAAACCAAAGTGGGAAGGCCTGCACCCCCCCCTCCCTCACACACACACACACACAGCTCAACGCGATTCACACTGTATATCCCACATTAGCAATGGACAGCTTTTCATGTGCTTTTTTTGTGTTGCCAACTAAGTGCTCTATACGTTTTCTTTTTGTGTTGCCTTGAGTGAGTCGAGTTGCAGAGAAAAAGAAACACTTTACAGTCGTGTTTGCAAACACTGTGATGGATCTGTTTGTTTCTGACCTGCTTTCTTTCTCCTCTATCAGAAGCCCCTCTCCTTACGGTTTCCTTTTTGCTTCTCCCTAAAGGGTTAGTTCAGCTAAATTATAAAGAAAAAGCAGGTATTATGTATTTCCTGTAATTGCCAGCTAATTTCATTACAGTGAAAATAGGAAATGATGTATAAGGTAAACAAAAATGCTTCATAAACTGGCGAAGCACCGAGTTTTAGGACATTTTAAGGACTATTTTAGGGTAAAACTGGCTGGAAACTGCAGGTCTCCAGATTATATTAAAATCACACATCAGGGTTAGAGTTACTGTAATTCCACATGAGCTATTCTGATGCCAGTAGAGAGCTTGGTGGATTTTTTTAGATGAACTGACCCTTTAAATATTACTCAATGTCAGTGTGTTCCAGACATGGACTGGATAAAGCTTTTAAATGGGTCTACTCAGGAATGGATTGTCTGAACCATTCAGTAATCAGACCCACGCTCAGGCCGACCCTCTGTTACAGTGCTGTACATAGCACATCAACATCTTGCCTTTGTTACAGTGGGATTTTTCATAGTTACTGAAAAAAATCTCTCAAGAATCAAATGCAAAGAAAGTGAAAGCAAAACACAACAATTCTAAAAAAGAATTTACATTAGAATTACATAGAGTGCGCCATTTGGTTATGATAATCTTCACCTTTGTTTCTGGGTTCAGACTTTTCCTCTGTGGTCTTTTTTTTTCAGCCCCAGTTCTGACACAAAGCTCTCATGTGGGCTAGTTACACTTAGACGAACATGTCAGTGGACTGAAAGTAAAACTCCATTAATTAGAGAATGGGCTGTCCCTCGGTCTGTCCTAACTCAGATGTTATTATGATTGCTGTTGACATTAGAAGGTATTACCGCCTGTTGAATCTGTGCATCACTGACTGTTGTCTAAAAGTAGCTGACCAATGAGGACGCAGCACTGTAAGCCCAGCCATGAGAACTTCACGACGGTGGCGCTCTTGTAGTTTCTATGTATGTTCTATCTTTGAGTGTTTTTGCTCTTCTTTGATTCACTTTTTTCATTCTTGGGAGATTTTTTTAAAATGTCATTATTAGGACAAAAGTTAATCCCAAGACTTTTGGTCTGTTATGTTTGTGATGAGAGTTCTAATAGTTCCCTTTTCTTCCCTATTAGCAGTGACTTTCAGATTGTCTCATTCTTACATTCAGGGTGGAGTTGAAAGCAGTTTTGAAAACAGAGCTCTGTTATCTCATCATGTAAAAACCTGCACATTACACTGCATTTAACCGTTTGGGTTCTCATTAATGTAAGACTACACGAGGCAAGGGATTGCAGTGGTACCAAAAAGCAGAGCTGATAGCCTGCTGTGACTAAAGGATAGCAGATGTACTGAATATTTAAAGTGGGCTTGTTATGCTCATTCCCAGCTCCACAGTTCCATTCTTGGCCTCTGTTTTCTTTAAACTGTGAATCATGCAAAGCTAAGCTAGTAATCTTTATTTATCCTGTGAGGGACCTTCGTGCTCATCTGAAACGAGGTGGTGTAGTTCCCTACCTTTGAGGCAGCCCTTTCTCAAAACCAACTATATTCTGATTGGCTGCCTCTTGTAAAAAGAATGTTTGAGTTGGATGGAGCTTCTGTGTCCACGGTCAGAGCCAGAGAGCCATGTTAGAGAGATCCTCTGTCTTTGACATCAAACAGAGGAAAGAGTAGAACAAACTGTTTGAAACTGAGTTTAGAGCAGTCTGAAGTCTCCCCTCATTATTTGAAACTTATTTGATATAAGCACCCAGCATAATAACACAAAGTATGGCTCAAAATAAGAAAAAGCAAAGCAAATTAGGTCTGATTTAGTAGCTGACCCTTGATCAGCTCTTGAAAGTAAGTTTTGGAGGATCTCTGTGATTAAACAAAAAAGACCAAAAAGTCACGCTGCAGCCTAATCATCATGTTTTCAGTGATTTTTAGCACCTACAACATTGTCCCTGTTTCCTCTCTGATACATGCTCAAGAAAAACAAAGCCTCTTGGAGCACAGAAATGCATTTTATTTTTGGCTAAAACAAACCAGGAGGTTTCTGTTTGTTCCAGCAAACAGAACCAGATTCTCAGTGTTGAAGCTGGCAGTCTGAGTTCTGCTAAAGGAAGGAAAAGGAAAGCTGACTGATGTCGACCTCAGCCTGTCTTTAAGCAGGAAAAACATGTGGGTTAGAATGATGCTGACAGTCTGTCAACATATGTTCATTCTGGTTTTTGTTTTTTATGTTCTTGGGGTTTTTTGTGTTATTTTTTTTTAGAAAGGTTTAGCCTCCTACAGTAGCCTCCCACTAACACTCTGTTTGCATGAATACGTGCCAGTGAATCACAGCTCTAAGCCCATGTGGTGTTTTGATGTTGTGAGCGTGTGCCAAATTCAATAAAACCCACAATTCTGCGATTATTTGGGAACCCTTTGATATGAATTTGCTCTGAAGGGACACTGGCTTCAGTTTAAAATCCTCTCCGCTGCCGGAAATGTATAAAATCGTGTTTGGGGTTAAAGAGAAGACGTGGATTTAGAATATTCATTTCTGCACCACGCCAGCCTACAAAGCATTTAACCGAGGTATTAACATTCACTATTCAATTTAAAGTACTTAAAAAAGAAGATTTAATTTCACTTTGTATTTCTTTGTATTTATCATTTGAGATTTTCTCCTGGGTGAACTGCTTTGTTCCAAAGTGTGCGGTTTTATTCTTCTATTCTTTGTTTACATGATATTGTGTGTATCCTTTGTTTTTGAATGCATGGTACAGCTGAAGGCTAGTTTAATTGTGTATGTGAAACACTGCTGGTATGATGAAGCAGCTGAGTGACGGCAGAGATTATTATTATTGTTTGGTTTTGTTATTTTTACAGAAATTTTAATTCTTTCTAAATATTCTGAAGAGATTTCAGCACATGCACAGAGAATAAATTCTTCTCAGATGCAATGCAACAACTGTGTTTGCTTCCTTTTTGGAGGTGCATTTATTTACTTTTGCCTGTCCCTTTATTTTATGTTCAAATAGTAATACCGGAGCAGATGTGGGTTTTTTGTTGGGGTTTTTTTCCTCCTTCCCCCCCGTGCACACAGTTCTTATATGGCCCTCACATCCCGCATTTTCCCTCCGTCCTTGTCTTCCATTCTGCTCCCACGTCTGGGATCCTCCTCCCCCCAATACTGTGTCCTCTCCTCACTCATGCATTTTTGCTTTGGTTGATAACTCACTCTGCCGAAAGCTTTCCGAAGCAGACAGCCCTTTGTAATCTTGACTGAGGTAAGCTTGCGAACAGCAGTCACATTGGCCGTCCCATCAAGCTTGACATGTCACATGTATGCACGCTTCAATCAGAAGGCCGACGTGTGCTTTCAGTTCCTCCTTTGCTGTTTTACTTCAACCAAACGGTTTGAATGAATGAGTGAGTTCTGTCTGTAATGTGATGCATGTGCCATCTGTTTCTTTTTGAAGTGCATGCCAGTCTTTTTGGACAGCAGCATGAAATGTTGGGCATGTTTCTTTAAAAACAAATTGAATAACATGGAACCTAAAGCATTTAGAGGACACTGTTAAAACTCATCAGAAGTCATGCTTCTAAATTCTCAGTTAGTGTTAACTGTAACTTGTGGCCATGAAGCAATCTTTGCACCAATACACTAGAAGATGGCTGTAAAATCCACTGTTTGCACTGCATAAATATAAGTCCCAAAGTTGACGTGTCACTAAAAATACTCTGTCAAGACTCAGGTTGTTTTGTTTATTTTTACATTTAAAACACAAAATTCCCGAAAACTACCTTCAGTGGCATGTACTTGAGTTTCTTAGCTAAGCAAAAAGACTATAAACAGGGCACCTGCTAGCCTAACCCCGTAAGCACTCTAAAGCCCACAGAACTACAAGTTGATTCTGTTCATTTGGACGTAGCGTTTTCAGTGGGAGAAACGCTTTGTCACTCATCCAAGTGACTTCTTTAATGTCCGCTGATTGCAGGTTTACTTCACCTTATAAAACAGCACCTTTGCACACTGACTGAAACCACCACCGTCAGGAGTCAAGGAGGCAATTTACGACCATCTATGAATCGAGGAGGGGGCTTAACGGTACCTCCTACCATCTTTACAATGCTGTGATTGCAGCCATTCCCCAACTCTCTGTGAATGGTACTCATAACCATTGATCAATGGTTTTTGATCAGCGGTGATAACAAATTTGCATATTAATGATCAAAAAACTCAACTGCCCATTGTTCGCCATTCAGTCATTATGCAAATGTACTTGGATGAAGCGTTTTCAGTGGGAGAAACGTTTCGTCCAGATGAACAGAAGCAACTTTGAAGGATTTCCTAACCTGGATGATTGAGCATGCATCCAGATGAGTACATGTTGTTTTAGGTTAATATCTTGGAACACAGTCCTTCTAAAATAACTTCTTACATTAGTTCTAGAAGTATCTGTCAGAGTTACTTTTTGCCATTATACATTAGAAATCAGAACTGTTGGCCATCTTGAAATGAACCCTAAATCTCTCCTTCTCAAAGTTCCTTCATCTTCAAGTGCCTTCTGTTTGGACAGCAGTCGTGAACCCCAAATATTGAGTCTACTTTAATGAATGCCAAACATTTTTGAAGCAGGAGCTTCAACACCCACCCACACATTGGACATCAAAGCCAGAATCGCATCCAAAACTCAGACATTGCGTATTTATCAAGCAGGGCTTTAAAGACTCCTTAAAAATGACTGATTTAGCACTTCTAGAAAGGCTGACATGTTTTGAGTGGGAGCCCAGATGAAAGCATCATTACTGTTACTGGTGTTGCTTCCTGCATTAGCCTAAGCCTCAAGTTTGTGGTAGCTGGCACTTGGTTTGGATTAGGAAGTAACATTCAAAGGTCTGAGGATAAAAATAAACTGACAAATGATTACCAAGAGGGCATCCACTGAAGCCTCATTTACTTCAGCTGGACTTAAATGTGCTTTGAGACAGTCAGCCAGTCCAAATATGTCTCTGGTGCTTTGTTGTAGGAACAAAGACCTGTAAAAGTAATCACATTCCCATCAGCCTCAGCTGCAGTTCAGTTTAGGTGTTAATTAGCAACCATTAGAGCAGCTGGCTCCACTGCCGGTCCTGTTCTCTTTGCTTCCTGGCCAGTACATACAGGCAGCAATGACAAGTAACTCTTTAAATGATTAAACCCTCAACCTGAAGACTTTTTTTTTTTAAGTAAGCTGGACATGTTTAAGTGTCTGAGGGACTAGCACAAAAAAGCAAAACCATCACATAGTAACATACTATCACCAGTTTTGTGTTGTGGATGTCATTGATGGTGCATGCAGGTGATCCCATGCAGTGCTTTTTTTTCTTTTTCTTTTTGCTTTGTTTGTCTCTCTGCTCCTTCACCTCAGAACCTCACTGTTTTTTGTCTGCAGGGGATCGAGCGGCTGAAGGGGGAGACGGGGAAGTGGGGGAAAGTTCCGTGTTGGGAGGCCATGCAGATTGCATTCGGAGGCCCCTTCTCACTGTCCTGGTGCAGCCCTTTTTCAGGCTTGAGCTGCAAGAAGAGCCCTGAGGACCACGTCGCCATCCCCCAGGGAGAGATCATCGAGGAGGATGTCATAGAGATACCACTCAACTAGCGCCACCTGCTGGGGAAAGCATAAATTGCAGACTGGCAGGGTTTCTTGACAAGCACAAAGATATTTTTGAAACTGGACTTTCTAAATGTTGAAAAACTGCCCAGAATTTATTTTTAGTTATGTATGCATTTTTTTATGTACAGGACCTTTTTCTGGACCTTTTACAGTTTCTGTTCCTACCTTCAGTGTAGCCATTTGATAGGTGTGCGGAGCACCCATTATCAAACTTTAGTATCTTGGCTTAATACTTGCACACACAAGTGAAGGTCTAATGTGCATTTTAAGGAGCTCATATTTCTCTACTAAATCTGCCAAACCTGCAGTATTTTCCTGAATTTGTCTCCAGGAAAACGCTGTGAGGACTCAAAGCTCAGTCAGCTCAGTGTTTGGAGAAGAGACTACTGTAAAGTGCCTCCCTGAGCTGCCTCAGAACACCACTAACAGCAGCTCTGCTCCAGCACTGTAGCACAAACGGTTCCTTTCAACCTTCTTGCCTTCCCCCCAGATTTGAACAGCCAGTTTCACAGATAACGGTTAAGCCTACAAATACAAACTCTCCATTTGGAAAAAGGTTTTTAGTCTAAGATTAGGCTTGACCCATGTCTGAGAAACTAGTTCGAGCTCACCTCGTGCCTTATCTATCTTTACTGAGCAAATGTTTGAAACACTACATTGTTGTATTACTCATCTTGATTCCAGACTGTCTCAAGTTGCCATTTTCATATTTCTCGCTCCATTGCACATGTGGGAAAAGGGCAGTAGATGACTTCATATAGAGGATTTTTATTGTGTGTGTATGTAAGCTGGAGGATAAGGGCTTCTAACTGCTAAATGGCTGCTGGACATTATGGGATCACTTATGTTTAATCATGTTTACATTGCTTTAATAATCTACTCATTGTGTGGGTTCCTTCCTCGTATGAATGGTCATTCTTTTTTGTTTGTTTGTTTTTTTTAATCTAGTGACAGATTATTTGTTTGTTTTTAGCAAATACATCTGCAGTGTTTGAATTGTATACCAAAAGCTACTGACAGTCCAGTTCAAAACTTAATAGGAACATTTTTTCATACTGCCTTATCATCTCATCTAATCGACTGCGAGAAAGGAAAAAAACATATTTATCAACGTGTCAGAGCACTCCTTACATTGTGGTACATCTCATCACCTGTTGTGTTTATCTGCACTGATTCCATTCTGTTCCACTGTGACCACTTTCAGCTCTCCTGCTTCGATGCCTTTGATGATAGCCAACCACAGAAGACAAATACAGCTGTTGTGGTAGAAGTGTGTATCATAATTGGAGAAAACATTACACCTCATTTGCAGCTGAGGCACAGCTAAGTGGTCTGGAATAAATGGGTGTTCAGACAGAACAGCAGGCATGTTGTTTGTACTGTCCTGGGGGAAACACGGTGCCCTCAAAATTTTCATTCGATTTAATTTGAACAAAACAGATCTGCACACCGGAGCTTGGCTTTATCGTTTAGTAGTTGTCACTGACCCATGTGGAGAGGGTTCATTTTCAATTTTTACCTCCAGCCTTTAATCATTACGCTTCTGCCGACTACTGCAGCTGGTCATTTGCATAATTTTGTGTGAGCTTTCTAGCTTTTGTGGGCATTGTAAGGTGACATATTCAGCTGCAACTAGTTTGAACTAGTCGACATTAGCACATGGTGAAGGTGGAGAAAACGTTTCCTCCTTAATTTTCTGGGCGTGCAGTCTTCTCCGGTGCTATCCCTAAAAATACCACAAGGTGGTGCCAAACTCAAATCAATTGACTTTCTAATCATTCTCAATTCTTTAGAGGAAATTTAGCATGACTGTGAGATGGCTATTTTTCTGCACAAAATATGTGGTATTTAAGTGCCCTCATTTGTTCAACTTCCATTTTATTTATAAAAATATTCATTTCCACTCAGTATTCCAATGCAGAGCAAGTCACAGTGTGGTTTGTTATACATGCATCACACATTAAAAAAACTTCCACAGAGGTACAAAAAAATAATAATGAGGGTTTTTTGATTTTGTGACTGTGTCCCAGGGAACCCCTCATTTTCTTAAAGAATCAGAATTCAGTTGAAAGTCCATAAAAAGGCAGTTGTTGTTTGTCTTATAGGAAGAACTCTTAAAAAGTATACATCAGTCAATTCTGCAGGCGTAGAACCTGACAGAACTGCTCTTTGCAGTCAATAGTTTTAAGGCTGCACACTTGGAGCAACTCCAACATGCATTACTGGTCCTTCTTGTCTGCTTCCTGTGGGTGTGTCTGAGGTGCTGAACCATGAAGCATCAGCAGTCCACACAGAGTGAGAGAGATGCCTGCCCACCACAGAGTTGCATGGCTCTCTCCAAAGAAGAGCCTCCCTAGCAGTCCCTGGACAGAAGAAGAACACATTCACTATAAATATAAAACAGTAATCTGAATGTTGAATGCAAAGTCAAAATGTTCCCCTTTTATTGTTATAGTGTTGTGAAAAAATCTAATTAGTTCAGCATCTGTAGAGAGCTTACAGAGGAAATGAAGTTGGATGCAGTGGTCGTGACAGTGGCCCTGGCTGTAGAGGTGGAATGGCGGAGTGCCTTGGAGAAGGTGGTCCACATGACTGCATTACAGGCGAATAGCAGGCCGCCGCACAGCAGCCGCAGGGGGATGTGGAGCTGTAGGCCAAGGTATAGCAAGACACACACGAAAACATAACTTTACCCTCTGCAGCAAAAATGTCACGGAAACTTGGCTAAATACCAGAACTGAGTGCAGAACCTTAGTTCAGATTCCCTACCTAAACAGCGTTTAGCTCATCATGCCCAGGAAGAACATATACTTTTTACCTCACAGCCTAAACTTTGACAAACATGCCTGTTTAATGACCAAAAACCTTAAACCACCACCACAGTTAGATACAAAAAAACAATCATACAGCTGTTACTAATCACATTAATTTGACTATGTACCGGCACACGCCCTAATTAATGACAATACTAACACCTGTTTGGCTTATGTTTTACAGCTAGATGCTGTACAAGTTACTGAGAACAAAACTTGCATCATTAATGAATTTATTTATTATTCATATTAATCGGCAACAGTTTGTGCTGGTCTTGTATTAACATTCATTTAAGTCACAGAGCTAACCTTTAAGTACACAGTAATGAAATGTTTTAAGGTATTTTATGGAGGCTTTAGGAGGCTTCTGATCACTTGCATGAATATTACTCCTCCAAGTTGTTACTGTTTTCTACCGGTGTAACACCGGCTGGCTGCCATCTTTGTTGTGGCAGTAGTCGGAAACGAGAAAACTCTTTAATAAATTCAGTGGAA